GTCTCCTCTGCCTCCCAAATTGCCTCTGAATTCTTCCATGGAAGCCTGGCAGCTTTTTCAGGCACACCCCCCTCCCTCCCTCCCTGCAATCCCCTGGCCTCTTAAGAAGCCGGAGGAACAATTGCTAATCAGCTCCCAAGAGAGAGACTGGGGAATGAATGGAGGAGCCAACAACAGGCCTCAATTGCTGGCAGCTGGTCCCCTTCCCCAGCCCCAGCGCTGGCTCCTCACTCTCCTCAATTACCATTTTTCTCTTCATGCCCGATTTCCTCAGGTCTCTTCAGGTTTCTTCCTTAACTCAATGAAGCCACAGAGGTTAAGGGACATCCCCCCCCCCCCCCGAAACACCCATTCCTTCACTTACCTCCCCATGGTGAGGCCCCCAAAATGCTGATCACATTTTCACCTCCAAGCCTTTGCACACCCCACTCCTTCTGCATGGGCAGCCCTCCTCTAGCTGACAAACTCCTACTCATCTGCTAAGGTCCAGCGTACATGTCCCCTCCCAGCGACACCTGTTACTATAGGCAATAGAGGGGGATACTGTTTCCTATCAAGACTGACAGCAGCAGGGGGTCCCCTGGGTGGTAGGATTTTGGCTTAGAGGCTGCAGGCAAGAAGAGTCTTTTCTGCCCTTCCCCATTCACTGTCCCTCTCTCATTTTCCTTCCTCTCTTCTCATGTCTGACCCAGGGACTCAGGCTAAATGACCTTCAAGATCCCTCCCAACATCCCATGTTGATACTTCTGCCATCATCAATTGGGGGCCAGGTGGCTATATTTATTGAGTGCCAGCCACGTTCCAGGCACGTTCTGAGCATTTTACCGCCCTCACCCTGGAAGCTGCCAGAAGCCCTTAAGCTCCCGGAGGGCCACACTACTCTCCTGGAAAGTGTGGTTCCGAGACTGGGGGCCATTACCCTGGTCCCTATCTGAGATGCATTGTGGTTGTCCTGAGGGAATTCCTTAACCACCTCTGGCCTCCTCCTTCCTCAAGAGGTGGGACTGCCTAGCTTTTCTTAAAGGAGGTTTTACTTGCTCTGGTCAATGCTAAGTAAGCACAACTGTTATGCATCACTTCCAAGTCAAGCTTTAAAAACAAAAACCGGTTTGGCTCAATGGGTAGAGCGTCGGCCTAGTGGACAGAAAGGTCCGGGTTCGATCTGGTCAAGGGCACATCCCCAGTGGAGATTGTGCAGGAGGCAGCTGATCAATATTTCTCTCTCATCGATGTTTCTAGCTCTCCATCTCTCTCCCTTCCTCTATGTAAAAAAATCAATAAAAATAAAAAAATATATGTTTGCACATAAAACCGGGTGGGAGTTGTTCCATTTTATTCAGATGCTTGATGGGAACTTCTCTGTACCTCATCCTCCTTCAGCCTCTTCCAAAACCGGACCCAAGGCGCCACCTGGTGGCAGCCTTTGGTTATAACATGGCAGAAAAACCCAGCTGGAGTAAAAAAAGCTGCCCACACCCCTCTTCCCTGAATGTTTCTTTCCCTGGATATAACTTGCTATAAACGTGATAGAACAACAATTGATGAACATTTTTTTCAATTTTTTATTGATTTCAGAGAGGAAGGGAGAGAGAGATAGAACCATCAATGATGAGAAAGAATCATTAATTGGCTGCATCCTGCACGCCCCACACTGGGATAGAGCCTGCAACCCAGGCATATGCCGTGATTTCCTGGTTCATAGATCAGGGTTCAACCACTGATCCTGGCATATTTGAATCCAATGTTTTTTTCTGTATGTAATTTTCCACATAGCTGAGGATTAGTTTGTTTATGTATAAATATACACTCAGTTATATTTAAACATAGGTTGTAGGTTTTATAAACAAAGTCTTGGTGTGGGAGTTGGTGTGAGTGTTGGGAGTCAGGTGCTAGTGTCAGATCACCCTGAGTTTGAATCCTGTCTTTGCCCTTACTAGCTATGTGACTTGGGCAAGTGACTTCCCTGAGTAACAATTTCCGTCACCATCTGTAAAGTATGGTTAATAATGGGGCTTATCCTGGGCTGTTGGGAAGGTAATGACACAATGTATGCAGTTCATTGCTTTATACAGTTCCCAGGACAGAGAGGTTTCTCACTGATAATAAATGACTTTCAGTCCACAGGCTGACCTTCTATCCACTGAGCCAAACCCGTTTGGGCCATAGGCCATTTCATGTAAAGATATTCGTGTTGGCCTTATCTCTAATGCATCTTCTGCCTTAGGGCTGTGGCACTCGCCCTTTCCTCTGCCTTGGACACTCTCTCGATAGGTCTTTGCCCACTTCTTCAGCATTCAGTATAGATAACACATCTATAGAGATCCCTCTGATCCCTCAATCTAAATCAGACCTTTTCAAATGAAATAATGATACAAGATGGGTCATAAGGCAGGACACAATTAAGTGCCAAATAAAGCAAAGAGTTAAAAACTAGGGCTTCACCCTAAGTGGTTTGGCTAGAGCATCAGCCTGCAGACTGAAAGGTCCCAGGTTCGATTCCAGTCAAGGGCATGTACCTTGGTTGCAGGCATATCCCCAGTAGGGGGTGTGCAGGAGGCAGCTGATTGATGTTTCTCATCGATGTTTCTAACTCTATCCCTCTCCCTTCCTCTCTGTAAAAAAATCAATAAAATATATTTTTTAAAATAAAATAAAAACTAGGGCTTCAAGGAATGAAAAGTTTACTGTGGATTAGGATGCTAGATAAGAATTCCCATAGGAGATAGAATATAAACTGATGGGGTAAGATTCAGGAAGATAGAAGGTAGGCGAGGTGGTCACTCCGGAGGCTGTGGGCAGGGCTGCCATATAGAATCATACAAGTGAGCCACAAGGCCTCACAAGAGTAGATATTCAACTTGTGTCCTGCCCATCAAGGCTTTCTCTGCCCAAAGTGGTCACCTTTGCTGATTGGTTCAAAGGATCCTAGGGCTAATGGTGGCTCTGGGATGAGGGGAAGGTGAGGAAAAGGCTCAGTGCACATAGATTTAAGATGATGATAATCATAAGCCTCTTGGGGAAGGGGGAGGGGGAGGGGGGACAGGTTGGACTGTTTGAAACACAAGCCTTGGAGGAAGGAAGAACAGGAAGCAAGGCCTATTTGAGCTCAATGTCAGGTGTTATCAGGAAGCTCTAATATATGTTAGTGGAAAACTCAACCCCATATGTGATTCCCCAAAGAGAAGCTTCAGTTATGGCTGCTGAGGAGCAAGAGCAGGTGAGAGTTAGGGACTAGGACTACTTCCAAAATACTATACACAAATGTTTTAAAAATGTTTTAAAAATTCTGTCCAGGTTCTATTCCGGTCAAGGGCACGTACCTTGGTTGTGGGCAGATCCCCAGTGGGTGATGTGCAGGAATCAGCTGATCGATGTTTCACTCTCATCAATGTTTCTAACTTTCTATCCCTCTCCCTTCCTCTCTGTAAAAAAGAAAAAAAAGAAAAAAAAAGAAGAAAAAAAGAAGAAAAAAAAGAAATGGCCTATGTAGGTTTGATAAATAAAGTGGAAGACAACTTACTACGTGGTGAATTCATACTACTTTATGAGTCAACCTTTGTTCTAGACCCTGGAAATGAGGCTATGACGTATTCCTTTCCAGACTAACGAAGGAGGCTAAGATGATTTCAGGAGGCAGACCATGGTGGGAGGTTATGGTGCATGTCAGTAGAAGGGTAGAGACAGTAACTATTTCTGCCTTTGGGGACTGAGGGAAGCTTGGTCAAGGAGACATCTGAGTGGGGTCTGACATAGGAGTTTCCCAGGCAGAGACACAAAGGGAGAGGAAGTCTGGGGAGTGCCCAAAGGGATGGAGGCAGGAGAGAAGGGTGATTTCAGAGCGTGGCAACCAGGAAGGGCTAGGAAATTAACTGTCATGTCCATCATCGGGCTGATAGGTAATGAGATAGGGGAGGTTCCTAAGCAGGAGGGTGGCTGGCCTGGCTGTGGCGAGGAGAATGAATAAGGGATGTGGAGTCTGGGAGACCCATGAGGAATCTGGTACAGTGACCCAGGCTAAACACTTACATTGGGACAATAATTATAAGAACACACAAGAGAGGAAAGATACAAAAGACGTTTTCATGTGAAAATCTATAAGCCTTGGAAATGGACTGATGTTTGGAAGGCTGGGGAGAGGATGAGTTAAAACTTTGCAACTTTCAGAGATGGGTGACTGAATGAAGGTGGCGCCCCTTGCTGAAATACTAGGAGATAGGATTTGGGGGGGGGGGGCAGGTTGGAGGAGAGAGATTGGGGTGCTGTGAGAGCTTCTCTTCGGTACCATGGACAGCGCCAAGGTTCTCCAGAGGCCCTGGAGTGCACTATGGAGGGCAATGGTTTTGGACGGTGGCTGCCTTAAAACCAGCAGAGGAGCTAATGTGACATGCAGGCTTCTGGCCCACGCAGATGTTCCTCAATTTAAGAGGAAAAAGTCCTGGAAATGGATGTTGGTGATGGCTGTCCTTATGCTAAAAAATAAAAATTAAAAAAAATGGTTCCAATGATAACTTTTTTGTTTATTTTACCACAAACCCTACATAATAAGAAAGAGTGGTTCATGTCCTCAACTTGAGAGGGAATCTGTAGGGCTTCTTCATGGCTTCCCCATCTCTTAGGGCGCTCTCCGACCCCAGGAAAGGGGGCTCCCCTTCTCTGGACAGGGGCTCTCCCGGGAGCAGCAGGCGTTTCTTCACACAGAAAGCTGCGCCCTCGGGGCCTGCACTGGTCATGCCCATCATCAGGCTGATGGTGCAGTTCCTCACAATGGGAGAGGCAATGTCTCCTCCTCCAGACCGGCAGTCGTCCCAGGGCGTGGGTGAGCGGGGGTGGGGCCTCTTGTTGGGGAGCTTTGTCTCTGCTCCCAGGCCCAGGCTCAGGCTCAGGAGCCGCACTGGAGCCCAAAAACTTTCCTACCCTGCATGTCACCTCCTCCAGCCTCTCCGAGCCCTGCGCCCTGGGCAGGCAGGTCAGCGGACGCCGCTCCGCCCTCTCCCGGCCCCCAGCTCCCCACTCCCCGCTCTGCCCTCTTCCAAGATGGCCGCTTCCGCCTCTGGGACCGGACTCGTCACGTGGTACCGCCGCCTGTGAGGTCGCAGAGGCTTGGACGGCGGCGATTGTCCCTCCCCACGCGCCGTCCTCAGGCGTCGACTGCCCCTGTCAACTGGAGCCTGAGCGATCATGGCAACGGGCTCGGGCGGGGAGCGCGTGGCAGCGGCGGCGGCGGCGGCAGAGCGGCGGCGGCGGCGGCGGTGGCAGTGGCGCTGGCACCGGCCCTGAGCGCCATGCAGCAGGGCGGCTCCGAGAGGGAGCCGGCGGCCGGATGGGAGGAGGAGGCGGCGGGGCCGGTCCGCGTGGACCCCGGCGCGTCCGGGGAGCCGGAGCGCAAGGCGAGGGAGGAGCGGGCCTCGGCCCGGGCCCGGGCGCAGCCCCGCGCGGCCGAGGAGGGCGACGCCCGTCTCCCCCGGCGGCGGCCGCCGTCCACGCCGCTCGGGTCCAGGCCGAAGCCGGCGCCCGCGCGGGGCCTCGGGCCGCTCGGGAAGCCCCGGAGCAAGGGCCGAGGCTGCAAGCGGAGCTCGGGCCGCCGGTCGGACGAGTACTACTCCGTGCGGCCCATCACCGTGGACAGCTCCAAGGCCAGGACCTCGCTGGACGCTCTGAAGATCAGCATCCGTCAGCTCCAGTGGAAGGAGGTGAGGCGGGCTGGGGCCGGGGGCTGGGGCCGGGGGCGGGGGTGGGCGGCCCGGGCCAGGGCTGGGCGCCGCTCCCCAGGCACTCCCAGAGGCTGTCAGTCCCCAGGTCCGTTAGCGGCCCCTGCCTCTGTCTCCCCTACAGCTCTCGTCCCCAGCGCTCAGCACCTGACCCCCCGCTTTCTAGATATTTGTTTGTATGTCTGACTCCTCCACTAGCGTGTGAGTCCCGGAGACCTGGGACCCTCTCTCTTTCGCTTTTTCATTCAAGTTGTATTTGCGTGGCCCTTCCCGTGTGACTTTTGCGCAGTGGAACAGTTTGTACTTTGTAGGCGGACAGACCCGGCCTCTCACCATACCCCGCTGCTTAGCCATGTGACCTTGAGCAAGTTGCTTTGCCTTTTAAACCTATTTTGTCCTCTGCAAAGTGAAGCTAATAATAACTATCTCACAGTTTTGTAGGTATTAGAATATTGTAGCATAGCACACGTGTGCAATAAATCCCATGCTCTCTCTCTTCCTCTGTCACCACTATGCCCGTCCCCATCACCACCATCACCGCCATCATCCTCATCATCCTCAGTGCAGGCACTGTATTTTATGTTGCAGGGCTTGGCATGCAGCAGGTTTCAGTCAGTGGTAGACGAAAGGGTGAATGAAGGAATGGGTTATTTGTTCCTGAACCCATTTTTGACCCCGTGGAGGCTGGGATGAAGCACCAATGACATCCAGACGTGTCTGTTGCAGTTGGCTTAGTGGATAAAGGCATTTGACTTTATTTGCAGCTTCTAAGACTATTTAACTTGCTTTCTTGTGTGTGAGAACTGTGATTTAGGGTAGTCGAGTCTGCAGACTTAGGCCCACGTGGCCTGCTGATGGGACAGGATCTGCCACAGGCCGCTTGAGGACTCGGGGACTTAAGCCCTGAGCCGTGGCTGGGGGAGATGTCCAGGAACAGCTGTGAAGTTGGAACATGCATAGAGACGGTCACAGGTTTGATGTCCCAGCAGGAAGGAGTCATGTAACATGGAGGGAAGTTAAGAATCAGGCAGGGCAGACTTCCAGGTAAGTAGAGGTTAGCCATTGGGGAAGAACTCCAGGTGTCAGGGTCCTCAGCCTTGGGGCTTGGAATTGAGGGGAGGAGTTTCAAGCCTAGGAAACCTGGAGAAAGGGAGGGAGGACTCCCGGTTCTGGACAGGGTCCCAGGTTCACACCAGAGATCTGAGGACGAGAACAAGATAAAATTAGAGAACTCATCAGTGCCAGAGTCCTGATGAAGAGAGAACCTAGGGACTGAAACCAGGCCACAGTGCCAGGCAAGCTGATTGGCCAAAGCAGGGCCTGTGCGTAGCTTAGCCCCGTGGGAGAGAGATGTGTAGCTGGCTAGATCTCGAGAGCCAGAGACAGATGGACTCAGAAATCAGCAGGCATGCATGCCAGCCCAGGTTTGTTCTCTCATTCCGTAAGTGTTCACAATGGATGCTGGGCCCTGCAGATCAAAGATGCTTAAGATATAAGATGCTCTTGCCCTCAAGTTCAGCAAGGGATAAAACACAATGAAGAAACCACTGCAGTAACAGGGTCTTTGCTTCTGCTTCTGGAAACCCTCTTTTCCCAATTAGGTGTATGTCTGACCCTGTCACTTCAGATCTCTGATCAAATGCCACTTCCTCAGACAGGCCTTGCGTGCTGATCCCTCTATATTTATTTATTTTTCCATAGCACTAGACTCTGACACTGTATTGTGTACTGTTCGTTTATTGTTTGTTTCCCTCATTAGAATGTAAGCTCCATGAGGGCAGGTGTTTTATTTTACATATTTACCTCAGCTGCTTGGCACATAGAAGGTGCTCAATAAAACGTTATTGAATGAATGAACATGTCATGTGACAAGTGTTTCTCTCTCTTTATGTAAAGTTATATGTGTTGTGGGAGGTGGAGGAGGGCCACTCAGGGCGGGCTTCCTGGAGGAGAGAGGTGGGAGCTGAGTTCTGAGTGCTGAAAAGGAGTAGGCGTTATTTAAGGACTGTCGACTCCGATCCCTGGCAGAGGAAGTATTTGGGCAAAGCAGAGGTGTATTTGGGGTTCAGCATGGCTGGATATTGAGTGGGTGGCACAGTAGTGAGAGATGAGGCTGGAGAAATGGCAGGGATCAGATAGTGTGCCACACTGTGGGATTTGGTGGTGTTTTTTTTTTTTTGGAAGGCTATGTGAGTCACTACAGAATTTTACATTTCTTCCATTAATTGGCTGTGATGTCTTGGCAAGTGCATTAAATGTTGTAGGCCTCAGTTTGCCTATCAATCAGATGGAGGTGTGTTGAACTGGTTCAGTGGTTCCTACTCTCTCTACTGCTGCAACCACACAATGGTGGTGTTTTCTACCTGAGACCCTTACCAGTTTCTAGGGCACTACTGGTAACCAACCTGTTTCCCCTAGTGTGAGTAGGGATGCTCATTCTAGTATATTTTATACCATAATTCTCTCACAGTAAGATTTTACTATGAGATATATGATCATTTACTTCATGCCATTGTCTCCTATTTGTCAGTGAGATTCTGAGGACGGGTGGTATCTGACTCATGTCCCTAGTGCCCAGCACATTGAGGGTGTTCAATGAATAATCACCAAATGATTGAGTGAAATATTTGCAAAGGAGCCCATATCTCATCTGAACCATGTGCCCTGTAGCAGAGCAAATTCCTAGATTGTGGAGTTTGAAAAGTAACAGACTAAGTAAGCTTTAAAGTTTCTTCCAGTTTTAAACCTGGATTATGGCATTCCTAGTACCGGCTACAAAGTTGACTTCGTGACAAGTAACCTATATGTAAACCACGTCCTAACAAAGTGCCAGCACACGAGCTCTCCAGGCCTTGGGACCCGTCTGTTACAGGGCAATGTTGGACAGGACCATCTCTAAGGCTCAGCACTGACCTTCTAGCAGCAGGAACATCTCCTGGAGGCTGTCATGCAAGGGACACTGGAATTGAGCCAGTGTCCCTTGCATGACATTCTGTGCTACTGCTGCAGGATGTGAGGGTGCCCAGCTGGCCGGCTTTGGCAGGTGGTGGGTGGTAGCCCAGGCAAGAAATAAGGTCATAAATACCAACCAAGGTGAAAGTTCTGTCTCCTCTTTTGAGTGCATAGTGAGGGGCAACATGACACAGTCCCCTTAGCAGGGCAGTACCCAATCAGCATGTGAATTCCCACATTTGCTCTGCTACAGGGCACAACCTCTTTCCCTCCTTCACTTTTCTTCATTCCACGTTCATTTAACAAACCCTTGTATAGCTCTTAACCTGTCAAACACTGTTCTGAGCGTTTTACATGCATATGATGATTTCATTCTCTCACCACCCCAATATAGTATGCCTGACTGTCTCCCTCTTACAGGGGAGGAAGTGGAAATGAACAGAGGTTAACTTATCTAAAGTCACACTTATCTAAGCTGGTAAGTGTCAGAGCTAGCATTTGAAATAGGTATTTCATTTGAAGCCAGCTGTCAGTTCTGTCTTTCCCCCTGCTCCCTCTGGCTCTGTCTGCAGACCTGGCTTAGGGGTCATAGATACAGATGTGACTGGGATTTATTCCTTGCCCTCCCAGCAGTGCCCAGTGCAGTCTAGCCTGGGACAGACATACTCCAGACTGTTACAATCTAGTCTGGGAGTTGAGTGGGTAAAGGGCATTTCATACAGAGAAGGAACAAAAGCGAGGAGTACAGATCAGGTTTTATGTGTAGGATGGGACGCTGGCAGCTTAGGGAGCATGTGGGAGAGTGGGGAGGGAGGGAGAAGGAGCCAGATCACAGACACTGAAAGGCTGTACCAAGAAGCTCGCACTTCTGCCTGGATGTGATCATGGGTTCTTGCCACACGCAGCCTGGGCTTCCCTTGCCCACTCACCGTCCCAAGTGAACCACGCCAACTGATGATTCCTTTCAGTCATGTCCACTCTGGTCAGGTCTAATTCAACTGTGCCACAGCCTTAAAATTTGTTTGAAAGGAAAATTCACATATGTTAGCTCTGTGAACGTGGAGATAAAGATGTAAGTTTATTGTAGAACAAGAAAATCATGTTCACAGGTTCACCACTGAAGTTACAACATGAAAGAGTGGGATGGTTTCTGGCTCATGGTAGATGATCAAGGAATATTTACAAAATTGTATGGCCCACTTCCAGTCATGTGAGCCTCTCTCTTCATCTCCTGTATATTCTTTTGTGGTTTTGACACACTCATTAAAGAAAACCTTGGGGAGAAGGCGCCTCAGAGAATAGATGCCACTGTCGTTGTGAGCTGCCCTCCCTGGAGATGTAGGTTGTGTATATGCGCACAGTGGTGCCATGGACACCGGCTAATGTGGGTGAGAGAGTCGATAGAGGGACCTTTGTTGTAAAGGAATACTAGAGGCCCGATGCACAAGCCCTGTCCCAAAATCTACGTTTTTACCGTGTGAGCTGTGTCTCAGAGACTCCAAACCTGAGAACAGTGACCATGTTTCTCTATTCCAGATGGGCTGACACCTCTCCTTCGGCATCGTATCACCTCCTGCCCTGCTGCCTCAGCCGCTGTTTGTGTACACATTTGTTTCCCTGGGTGTGTGTTTGAACCATTGCCTAGTATTTTTGTAAATGCTTCTTAAACTCTTAGCAGGCATTTCTGATGGTGCCTTCTCTTCTCTCATCTGCTTCCGTGTCATCTGAGTAAAGCCTTCTCATCCTTAATGGAGCTGGGAGAAGAGGGCGATTTGTCCCCCCTAACCCTTCCCGCCCCGCCTCCCCCCATGCCATCACCCCCAGTCGTAGTGTTACTTTTCTTGGAATTCCTTCAGTCCTCTGCCTAGGACTCTTATGAAGGCCAGCTTCCATATTTGCTCTATATGTTGATAGGGAGATTTTATTTCAATTTATGTTGGAACTATGAATTATTGGAATTTAAGAAAGCAAGAGTGGAAAACTTTCTGGAAGTCTGAGATTATTTACAAACTCTTAGTACAATTTTCCAA